AGAATTACTTATAAGATCTTGGGAGTTAAAGGGTTGATTGATTTGTTTACAACAACCAGTAGGTTTTGAGAATATTAATATTATTGAAATATTCATATCCAATCAGTAAACATTTAATTCATTTAAAGGAAATGACAGCTGGGTAAAAAGGAGCTTCACAGTTGTGTATAATGTATACTGTACATATTTGAGAAAAAAAATGTGTACTTCTATAAACAGAAAAATATCAGGAAAATGACAAAATAATACTCATTAACTTTATTTTTACAAAAATCTTTCAATGAAAAATAAAGTATTTATGAATTATGACAACATTGGTCTTCTTTTCATTTAGCTTGTTTTCAACTACCGCATACATGGTAACAATTCAAATTGACAGTCATAAAAAGAATAGTTGCAACTTGCTGGTTAGGTAGTGTCTTCAGAGCAATAGCTACTAAATTAAGGAAAATTTAGAGTTACAAGTAAATTCATGTAATAAAAAAAATATATTTCTTTTTGTTGAGTTTCCAATTGTCAGTCACCACATCATCATCATCATTATCAATAGCTTACAAAATTTTAAAATATTTTCGATCATCATGATTGGAGAATTCAATCTGTGGCTACATTTCTTTGGCCAGAAATGATTGACAGTACATGAACACAAGGAGAACATTCCCTATTGATTTCACCCTTAGGCCTTTGTTCTCCAGTTAGACATTTCTCACTGAAAACCACATTCACTTACTTAGCACTTGCATCATAATGATCAGCTAATAAATATGTTATCTAAGCTGAAATTCAATATCACAGACACAGATTTGGTTTGGCACTGAAAAGCTGACACAACACCCTTATTTTGATAATGATACCAAGAAATCCACAGAAACTAATTAAAAAGTAAAACTGAATACCCCTATTATCTTAATTTAATTGAAATAAGATCACTGTACAACATTACCTAGAGATACAACCTGTAGAAAAAACCTATGGCTGGAAAAAATAAAACGAAAATTAAAGTGAAATTTTCTAAACATAACTGACCTAGCTAGGTATAAAATTCTCAAGCAAAGTGAAAATTAGGCTATAATTTTATACCAAGACAGTCTACATGCACATGAATGCAGCTCCATCTAATCTTCTTTAATAATATTGAAAACTGATCATAGGAAAGATTGTGATCATCATGATTCACCTCACTTTGAAAGAGGATTTTAATCAGAAAAACCCACAACAACAAAATAGTTCAATGGGCTTACACTGAAGCTATGTTTTTTTAATTTCATCAAATATAAGTCCCAACTAATCAAAACATCACAGCTTCATAACCATGGGTGATGATTTTTAAGCCTGATAAAATTTCAGATTTTGCTGATGAAAAGCACACTTGTTTTTTTCTAATTGACCTAGTAAATGACTGTGTTTTTCTTTGTGTTATAAATCTGTCTTACTTTTTTTTTTCACCATTAGAGCTAACACAAAATAATATCAAACTATCACCAACTTTGCTTAAAAACCTCCCCTTTGAAATTTCTTTCGATAGGTCTTGCAAACATGCATTTTGGAACTTACACTGCATACCCAGCCTGGTTGACTGCCCAAGTTTATATGAAGATGCACTCCAAGACTCTCAAGCTGGATCAAATACTCACACCTTTTTAGTGACCACTAAACCATACTGTAAAACTTTAGGAATACACCTCAGGCTCTTCGTTTAGATGAGTGAGTACATACCAGTAGGATACGTCCCATCACTTAGCTACTTGATATCATAACACATACACATGCTTATCAACAAACGGAGCCCCCTTAGCTTAAGAAAAGTTTTCACTAAGGTTTTCCAATAACTCTCCATTTTAAACCAGAAATCATTGTATTAAAGCCTAAGGCAAAGACTTAAAAATTAAAGTTCATTTAATTTCTGCTTGACATTTCCAGTGTCTTCATCACAACATGATAAGTATATACAGTGTATAAATGCAAAATATCTCAATAATTTGGCCAGAGGTGAAAATTTACACACCTAGCAAAATTTTCACCTCAAAGCTTTTAAAATAGTTGTTGTGTTGTTTAATGTTCACTCTCTGTAATGTTGTTAAAAAGACACTAAATTATGTCCAATAGCAACATCACTTTTTTCTTTTTTTTTTAATAATTCTAATTTGTGATGCAAAAACAAAATTTGTACTTGGAAGCTTTCTTTTAATCATATAACTTCCTTCCACAACAAATGCAGGTTTGATCAGATGTGATTTAATGCCTTTTAAATAAGCATATTCCAGTAAGGATTAGTGAAAAAAATTATCAATGATGTTTTTTCTCTTACATATGAATCAATATATTTTTTAATGAAAAAAAAATTAGTCATGTAGTAAGTAGCTCTCTCTATGTTAAATGATACCCCAGCCCTGCTGCTAGAAAAGCAAAATATAATTAAAAATCTTATTAAAGAAACAAAGGTTGGACAAAATGCTAAACATTTAAGGATTTGATTTGAATTGAATAATGTTAATGATGCATAGCTTCACCAAATTTTAAATATTAATCAAAACTATTGAAAAAAATCTTCATTCCCAAAGATTAAGGATAAAAAAAGTTCTTCAAAAGACTTAAAATATCAAAATTAACTTCGAATCCCACAAATTGAAAAATAATTCACACTGACCGATTTGAATGTTTTGAAGACTAGCTAAATTGAATATTAATTAATTCCCTTCATTCAAATTTACAACAATTTTTTTCAAAATCATTTTCTTCCCATCAGTTTTGTATAAGCTCTTCCTCATAACACGGGAAAAAGTGCGAAAATGACATCAGAAATTAAACATATCAAACAACTAAGATTCGTTCAAGATCTCTTAGGATCAGAAGATTATCGAATTAAAGAATCGAATTGACAACAAGCTGCTTATCGGCTACTTATGCCAAGCTTGTGATCACAATAAATATACGACAAATGCGATATAAACCAGGTCACTGAGGTAAGAGAAAAAAAAAATTATGTTTTTAAAAATGATGGGGAAGAGGAAAGTAATCGAACTGGATAAAACTTAATTTAGAAATGTGTTGCGTGATATGAACAGAAGATCAAAATCAAGGTTGACCATATTTAGGAAGAACGCAACGGGATGGTAATCTAAACGGTTTGAATCATTCAAACAAAGATTCTTGTAATATTGAAAAAATTTTCACTGTAGAGAAAGTCTATTCCGATGTGTTAAATTAGAAACCTGTTCTATCACTGAGATACAATTCAGAATGATTAGGTTTGAGCATTGAATATTCCCATGATCATCAGTATTCTTATATTGCTTCTTGCCCATCAAAGCGAAAACATGGTTTAATATCTGTTCAATTTCAGCTCCAATATCATCAGACGGAAGTTCGAAAGCCCCATGTAAACACAAGGCTAATGATATCTTGAAAATGACAAAAGGCTTCAGGTTATTTGAAGAACGTAAATATTTCGTGTAACGCACCTTGAAAGCTGCAGCTGTTAAGAAATATCGCAAGATGGTGAAAGCAACACCAAGGAAAAGACAAACAATTATGTCCCTCGCGGATATATAGCTATAGCTGGAAATGTCCTCGATAAAATCTGTCAGGAAAGTTACTCTTGGAGCTCCATCTTTCCATTGCATATGGACATGTTCCCATATTTTGGTGAAGGCCTCCAAGTAACCAACCTCCATACTGGAAACCGCCTTCTTTGTGTCGACGCGTGAGAAAAAGCTGTACAAACACAAAGACAAACAGTAGACAAAACGCCACTTCTGAGTTCTCGCGGTTAAGTGATTCACCACCACAACAGTTTATTCTGTATTCCAATAAAGCGGCTCGTCCTAGCGGCGTAATTTTGGCACCAGATCACTGAACCGCAAGAACTAAGAAGTGGCCTACTAAGAGAGGGGAGGGGAAGTTCAGGAGTCTCCTCTAATGCTCATCAGTACCCCGGTAGTTTAAAAAATATATCTTTTAGGGATGGGAGGCTTAGGAATATTCTCGACACTCACCACTACCCCCAGTGGTTTGCACAATACATGCGTCTAATCATTTCCCCTTTGACGTCCGTTCAGATCACTGTATTGTTACGTTCAGACATCTTATTACAGGCTAAGAAAATGTTTTCAATCAGACATTCTGGTCGAGTTTTACACAAACTTGGTTCGAGGAATTTCAATACTTCGCTTCGAAGTCAAGGTCAACATAGTTACCAGTTTGTTGTGGTCGGAGGAGGAGCAGGGGGCCTTGCTATGGCTTCTACGCTCAACCGTAAGTTTCCTAAATGTACTGCTATCATTGAACCATCTGAGGTGAGAGAGTTGGATTTTCATTTAAATTTATGATACTAATTCTAAGCTAGAAATCAGAGCACGGCGTCAAATGTGGTCGCAAGTACCGGTAGGATGAATCAAAGAAGTCCCATCGTCTTTGAGCTGTTTTTCGGAGACTTTATTCTTTTCATGAACAGAGAGTTTGGCTAAGCTCCCAAATTCAGACGTAATCGCAAGTTAGTTTTCACACCATAACTCTTTGTCTTCGGTATTTGCTTGAACTTATTTTCTTTTTTTCATGCAGGTTACATCATCTTCCACTAAATATTAAATGTTCGTGCAGCAGTGCACGCCAAAATTCTCAAGCATGTCCAATTTAATTTGTGATATTGCGTAGTTGGACGTAATAGATATACATAAATAGAACGGAGATTGTCGTTCAGCACCGTTGATTACAAACATATAACTATGGATCTTAAGGGCTGATCAGGAGCGTCAATTTGGGTCAGGGGTCATCTTAAAATCCTGCCCCTAGGAAATGCAGGCCTACCAATCAGTTTA